GTTCCCCTTCTTGGGCCCTCTTGGGCCGTCTCGGGCGCCCCTGGGGCCGTCTTGGGTCACTTTTGGGCCGTCTGGGGACTGTTGGGGGCTTCTTGGCCGCCTTGGGGAGGTTTTTGGGGCCTCTTGGGCAGTCTTCGAGTGTTGCAGGCTCGAAAAGTCGAGGACTTTCAAAACATTGAAGTCCAAACGCGATCCGGATTTTGGCCTCGGGGCCATCTTGGGAAGGCTCTTGGGGCTCTCTTGGGGCGCTTTGAAGGCTTCTTGGGCCGTCTTGGGGCCATTTTGGTCATCTTTGTGGCGATTCGGGGCCCTCTCGGACAGTCCGGGCGGCTTCTTTGGGCCCTCTCGGCCCATCTTGGGGCCCTCTTGGGTCCGACAAACCTGCGGCAAGCCGCGGCGGGCCTCAGAGGGCACGCCAGGAGCCCCAAGAGTTTTGTGAATCTGAGGTCCAAGGACCTGCTGATACTCCAACTCGTGCCTCAGGGCACCCTGGCGGATCACGTACAGAGTAGGCTCAGGTTGGCTCGCCAAGCGGGGCATGTAGTGGACCAAGCCCAGCCAGCCGATGCAAGGTGCAAAGCCGTCACATAACGAATCGGCATTGGCAGTCCGAGCTGGTCGAGGTGGAATTTGCATTCACCATGTCCCGCCACTATGGCAGTGGCAGTCATGCCTCGATCGGTCGGCGGTCCGCGCATTTACGCGGTTGAGCGCAATGTCAGTTTCATCGCTTGAGGCGCGTGATGAGACCAGGATTGACCAAGCCGTTGTCTACAAACAGTTGTATGTCCGTTTGTTTTTGTCGTGCCTTGTTCAAGTCATCCAGAAACGATTGTTTTCACAAAATTGCGCGTCTGCCAGCAATTGTCGCAGGCGCCAGGTTCCTCCTTGTGTCCTCTCTGCTTATGTCCATGTTCTTCTCATTGGCTGGACAACCGCCCGGCGCTTACAAAGGGAAGCCCCGTGCGTTTCTGCAAGGCCTTCGGATCCGAGTCGACCGAGCGGTATCGGTGCTGTCCTGATCTCTTGCAGGGAGGTCGTCGCTGGTTGCAATTTGATTTGCCGAGCTGGTCTGCCTTTCCCGCAAGGTTGTTCCCCTCCACGTTTACTGCTGTTGCACACCTCATTATTACCTTTGGCATAAAAAACGATGGTGGCAACTTGCATAGGGTGTACATGCCCCAGGTACGTGGGGTACAGGAGGGCACCTTCATGTCCATGGTCTTCTTATGCGTGAGTATGTATGCATGTATGTATCTATGTATGCATGCATGCATGCATGCATGCATGTATGTATGTATGCATGTATGTATGTATGTCTGTATGTATGTATGTATGTAGGTGTGTATATGTGTATGTGTGTATGTATGTGTGTGTGTGTCTGTCTGTCTGTCTGCCTGCCTGTCTGTATTTATGCACGTATGTATGCATGTATGTATGTATGTATGCATGCATGCATGCATGCATGTATGTATGTGTGTGTATGTATGCATGTATGTATGTATGTATGCATGTAGGTACGTATGTATGCATGTATGTATTACGTACGTACGTACGTACGTGTGCATGTATGTATGTATGTATGTGTGCATGTATGTCTGTATGTAGGTCTGTCTGTATGTCTGTATGTATGTATGTATGCATGTCTGTATGTATGTATGTATGTATGTATGTATGTATGTATGTATGTATGTATGTATGTATAGGTGTGTGTGCACATGTGTGTGTATGTATGTATGTATGTATGTATGTATGTATGTATACATGCATGCATGTATGTATGTATGTATGCATGCATGTATGTATGTATGTATGTATATATGTATGTATGTACGTACGTACGTATGTATGTATGTATGTATGTGTGTGTATGTGTGTATGCATGCATGCGTGTATGCATAAATGCATGCATGCATGCATACATGTATGTTCGCATGTATGTGTGTATGTATGTATGTATGTATGGATGCATGCATGCATGTTTACATATATGGACACATATAATCGCTTCGCTTGTTCCGCTTTATCAGACTGTCCCGTTGCGGGCGTTTGCCCGCGCGTTCGTTTCCATTGTGGCGTTGCTGGGTGGTGATAGTTTCTTGTGTTCGTGGGAAGTCGCAGACGCTTACGCAGCTGACCAGGGGCCTGTCTTGGGGGGCTGGCCGGGGGCTTCTCAGGGGTTGTGGTCCATGGTGGGTGCCCATGAGGCCTGTTGCGGCTGTGTCAATCGCAGCTTTGTTGTTGGGGCCAGAGCGCTGCCCTCCTCTGTATCCAGTAACCTTCGGCCACCTCCACCACTCAGCGTGGCAGGGTCGTGGACGAGGTGCCTATTCGGGAGGCTTCCTGGAGTCTGTCGGAGGCCTTCTGGAGGAATTCTTGGAGGCTCCCGGGGCCTGCTATGGCCTTTTGGAGCCCCTTTCACAGGTCTTCGGTGCCGCCTGGGGGGCCTCCTGGGGGCAGCTTTTCGGGGGGCAGGCCTCCCATGCGTTTTGGAGGCCTTCTTGGCCCCCGGGAGGCCACAGTGGACACCAGGGAGCGCTCCTGGGTCGTGTCGGGCCCGTCTTGTGAGGGGCCGCGAACCCTGCCCCTGCCCCCCAAGAGATTTCTGAAGGGGGAGGGTTGGGGTTCACTTCGCTCGGGAGCTCCCGACCGAATGGAACCCCACCCTCCCCCTCAGAAATCTTGGGGGGTAGGGGTAGGGTTCGCATGTGGCCCCGTATCTTTCAGGAGGGGAAAAAACACACAGACACAATTAATCGGCGATTCCCGGAAAATATGGGAAAATGTGGCAAGTGGGGGGGAAGACAAAAACCCATAAAATATGGACAAATATGGGGGGTATTTTGTTTGTGTGTATTTATTTGTGTGTCCCAGTTCCCCTTCAATCTTGGGCTCCTCCTGCGGGCGCCGTGAGGAGCGTTCCTGGAGTTCTCCCTTTGTGGGGGGTGGAGGGGGCCAGGCCCAGGACGAGCACCATCTGGCAGGTCCCTCCACGGGAGGAATATTCGAGAGGAGACAACCTGGGGTCGATTGTTCGCTTGTGTTTGAGCATTGTTTGACCAGTGCTTCGCTTTTCTTCCAAGATCCGCCTGTGGGAGGACATGCCCGACCTGAGGGTACTTTTCGTCCAGGGCCCCCCAGGGGCCGCCCGGCGCGTGCGGACTGGCAAGGTAGATACATTCTGAACTTTGATATGGCTATACATCTACAGTGGAGGCCCATGGGTGCCCTGGGCTTCGTGGGTTTCGATGGTTTTGCGATGGACCGCGTGACGTTTCCACACCAAAAATCAATGGACGTCCTGGGGTCTCAGGGTTGGGTTTCTTCTTGTGAAATGTTTCTTGTGGACTGGCCTCCACTGCAGTGACCTTGGGCCTAACCGCCACCGTGACTGGATTGTGGAGCACGGGCCTCTTCGATTTCTCTCGGTGTCTCTTGGGCGGCTTCTTGAAGCCCTGCTTGGGGCCCCTCGGGAGCCTCTTGGGTGCCTCCTGGGGGCCTCGCGGGGCCTCCTTGGAGCCTACCTGCCGTTGGCGGATGGAGGCGATGCCGCGCAGCGACAAGGGCCGTGGACGTGAGCGCCCCTGCCTTGCCACTCCCCCTTGCCCTCTCCCCCCCTCCCTCGTCCTCTCCCCCCATTTCTCCGTGCCCCCTCCCGCCTCCGCGCGCGGGGGCTCAAAGGGAGGAGGGGGGGGGATGGACGGAGGCTTGAGGGAGGCAGGGAGGGGGGGGGGTCAAGCGAGGTGCGCTCGCGTCATATCTGACATCCTACCCCTCCCTCCCATCCCTTCCCATGGCGCAGATCCCTTCTCTACTCGCACAGTCGGATGTCGAGCAGGGCAATGATCCCGAGAGGGTACGCGATGCATTGTAGAGCACGGCATGGCATGGCGTA